TGTTTATTTTGTGTAACATAATGTTTTGATATATGCATACATTTTGAAATAGGTAAATCAAGCTAATTAACATATGCATTACTTCACATAGTTTTCTTTTTCATGAAGAAAGCACTTAAAATTTACTCTCAACAATTTTTAAGTGCACAATATCATGTTATTAATGATAGCCATGATCATATGCAGTTGATCTCTTGAAATTTTTCCTTCCATCTAACTGTATCCTGTGAGCAGAATCTCCCCTAATCTCCTCCACCTCCCAGTATCTGATAAACAACATTTTACTGTTTGCTTCTATGAGAAGTGAACTAATTTTTGTAAGAAAATATTATTTTAAACTGCATATACTATTAGGTTTGTATTAATAAATTTATAGCCAAAGAAGCCTATATGCCTTAATATACAAAATATATTCAAACAAAGATACATATTGCTGAATGATACTTTATCACAAATAAATATTTATGGTAAGGTAAACATATAGAATGGTTAACAATTAGAAATTGACATTTATTAAGATTTTTGAAGCTAGTGATTTTTTTTTTTTTTTTTGAGACTGAGTCTCACTCTCACCTGGGCTGGAGTGCAGTGGTGAGATCTCGGCTCACTGAAGGCTCGGCCACCCGGGTTCAAGAGATTCTGCTTCAGACTCCCGAGTAGCTAGGACTACAGGTGCGTGCTGCCATGCCTGGGAAATTTTTGTAGTTTTAGTAGAGACGGGATTTCACCATATTGGCCAGGATGATCTTGGTTTCCTAACCTCGTGATCCACCTGCTTCGGACTCCCAAAGTGCATGGATTACAGGCGTGAGCCAATGCACATTAATGAGTAGAATTTCTTCCACTTTTTAACAGTGATAACTACTTTATTTTCTATTATCAGCTTTGGTACTTTAAATCAGCATTTAAGATTTGAAAAGTTGTCCTTAAAGGTATTCAATGTATTTTACACCAATGAATTTAGATTTTCTCATACTAGGGAAAATATCAAATTAGAATATATTAACCTATCTTTGGGCACACACTACTTGTTTTCAAGTGTTTACTACCAGAAATTGTACACTCAAAAATCATAGAGTATGTGCTTTGCATTTTTTTTGTTCCATAAACACTCTGCTTCTAGCTGTGAGTTTGAAAATATCTGCCAGGTTCCACTAAATGCTGAAATTATTTCATGGTGCAAACTTAGAATCTGATTGAAGCCTTCACATAAAATACGTTTTCCCATCTATTAAAGACTAGCTTCTCTGACATGTGCAGAAGCAGATTCAAATTTGTAAACCTGTAGGTATGATAGTTAGTCACTAGTAGTTACTTTGTTCCTTGGAACTTTATTTTTCTACAAAACATCCATGTTATCCCCGTAGGACTCAGCCTTAGCATCATCAGTCCTCTTGACATACAGCCACATTCTTTCCTGAGGATTTGATCCTTGTAATGACACCACATGAGGTCTTAGGCCACCTGTTATGTGAGAAGATAAAACAAACCTTCAGCACATATGCCAAATACGCAAGAATTGGTTTTTCTTAGGAAACTCTTTTAAACTAACCAAGTTGAAATTACGTACTCAGAATACAATAAAGAGAAAAACATAAATACTTGTGCAATACCCTCAGGACCTGTGATCATGATGTGGTAGTGACTGTGATTTTAGAAAGTATTACTTCTCTAGCTTTTCTACTTTTAAATTTGTCAAATATGTTAACTGAGTCCTGTTGTGTGACTTAATAGTGATATTTACAGTGATATTATTTAAAGTAAAATAAATGCACTGAAGTTGTTTTCTTAAGATGGGTAATACCCAATTTTAACATTATTTCACAAAATATTTAAAGGAATGATACTAGATTTAAAGCATGTATTTTAAAAAAGGAAACAAAAAACAGGAACTTGAGAGGAGGAGATCTGTATTCTAAGTTCCATTTGCTTAACCTCATGACTTTGGATACATCATTGTTATCCTTTGAACTTCCACCTATCTCATTGGTAAAGTGAGAATAAGAATGTCTCTTCTACATATTGCAAAGCTTTATTGAAAGTATCAAATTGGATAATATATTTGACAATTTTAAAATGTGATGTGATGATCAAAAATTAAAAAGAAGTACTACTGAAAGTTAAAGAAATATTTATTGTTGAGATACACTTTGTATTTAGGCTCATAGGTCAGAAAACATATTCTTAAAACTTCTGTGACAGTGTCTAGTAAACAGTGTAGGTGGCCAGGCAATGCAGATTCCAGGCACTATATACACTTTTTATTCATCATCTCATTTAATCTTTAAAACAATTCTCTTAGAGTACCAATTTCATTAAACTCTCCGATCTTCAACTTCCTAAGTGAAAGAGTGCAGATAGGTTGATCTGATTCCAACACTGAGGACCTTGTATCAGTCAATTCTTATAGTATTGTCAACATTTATTATATTGACATGATAATGTGGAGATTCAGATCATTCTTACACATTCAGGAACCAGAAGCTTAATGGTGGAGGCAAACCGTGAATATGTTTTTAACACAAGATAGTATATATGATGAGTTCCTAAAGTGTGTGGCAAGCAAATTTTAGAGCAAAGTGAAATAATTTATAGGATTAGAAATATGTGAGAGTATAGTTTTTTGTGTTTTTTTTTTGTTTTTTGTTTTTTTTTTTTTAGATGCTCAATTTCAGTAATGGGACGTGGGAGATAAAGATAAAACTTTTATAAGTGAAAGTATGCCCTGAAAATTATATCAGAACTGAACGAGGACTCTCCAGGTAAACTAGAATGGAAAGTCACAAAAATAATTAGAGCATTTTGATATTGAGAAGAAAATACTAAGTAAATAACTTACCCTTAAGTATATATTTTTTTTATATTATAAAGGTATGAATTGTTTCAGTCATAAATTTTGCCTTGTGCAAGCATACTTCACAAAGAAATGTGCAATTAGCATGATAGCAATTACTTTCTGCCCACAACCAATTAAACAAAATTTAGACAGCTGTGAAATCAATTGGCTTACAGTACATTGGATTTAAACTTATTGAACTAGTAAAGACTTCATTATTCAATTATGTCTAATACTATTTTGCCAATTATTCATTTTGGTTTTTATTTCAATGGTAACTATATCTATTTAGTACTCAATTTCAGATGTTGTTGCAAGTCATTTATTAAATTGTTTCCTCCAATATATTGGTATCCTATGTATTTATAATTACAAAAGGGCCTTGATACATCTGGGGCTTTGAAACTGCAAATTAGGTGACTGTTTTCTTTCTTCCTTCCTTCTTTCCTTCCTCCTTGCTCCCCTCCATTTAGTAAGATATTTTGTATCATAAAGTAGGTTACATGATCTCAGCACTATGACTTTTTTTAAAGTTATCTTAAAAATCTAATCTATCAGTAAATATACTTTTTTGAAAATAATTGTTCTAATATTTCCTGTGCTTGCTTCATGATTCATAACTTACATAATAGTAAAGTTGCTCAAGATTTGGAACTCTACCTTGCCCACAAATTGACACAAATTCTCTCCTTGAACACACCTACAGTTTGTGATTGATTTCCATTTACCCAACTGATGGACTACCCCTCTCTCTATTTGGATTTACTCTCTATCTGCAGTCTTCACTATAACCTTTCCATTTCCCTCAAATGGACACTGTTTGTGTAAAAACCTTTCCCCCTCCTGCCTGCTAAGATTTTTCTCTTCAGAGGAGGACTAGCCTAGTTTCAAGGATGATGACTGGCCAAAGTGGTATTTGAAGATAATGACAGATACTGAATGGAGGACTAGACTGAGCTAGAAGCCTGTGATGTACAGATAACTTTCAAATGCTTTATTTTTCATTTGTTTGCTTTCCCTTCAATTATCCCAAATTATTCAAATATTAATACAAATTTAGTTCAACCCATGGAAAGCATTATGGAGATTTCTCAAAGAACTAAAAATAGAGCTATCATTTGATCCAAAAATTCTACTACTGAGCATCCACCCAAATAAAAAGAAGTCATTCTACCAAAAAGACAACTTCACTCATATGTTTATCATAGTGCCATACACAAGAGCAAAATCATGGAACCAACCTAGCTGTCTATCAATGGTGGACTGGATAAAGACAATGAGATGCATATACATTGTGGAATCCTACAAAACCATAAAAAGAATTAAATCATTTCATTTGCAGCAATATGGTTGCAGCTAGGGGCTATTATCCTCAGTGAATTAATACAGAAACAGAAAATATAATACCATATTTTCTCACTTGCAAATGGAAGCTAAACAGTGGGTACACATGGATATAAAGATGGAAACAATAAAGGCTGAGAATTCCAAAAGTGAGCAGGGAAGGAGAAGGGTAAGGGTTGAAAATCTACCTATTGGGTTCTGTGTTCACTATGTGGGCAATGAGTTCAACAAAAGCCCAAACTACAGCATTATGCAATATATCTGTGTTACAAACCTGTCCATGCAAGCCCTGAATCTAAAATTTTTGAAAAGAAATTTTTAAACATGCATTTCAAATGATTCAACAAATACACACAAAGCCAAAAACAGATGCTTAACATAAAGTAACACCTGTTATATACTCTGGTGATGACAAGAATTTCACATATTGCTAAGGACACTGAATTAAATAGCACTTAAGGCTTATAAATAGTGATCTCATCTGTAAAACTTATTTCATATTAAATAATTCATAGGAAAATTTTGCTCAATTGGTAATTTAGCTCAATAGTTGTTCTCTGACGTGTCTCAGAGGCCTATGTTAGAAATTTGCTAATGCTTTTAAAATCTTATTTCAGCCAATGTGGTAAGTTTTATGGTAATATATATTATATTGTCACAGGAAATTAGGCAAAAATATTTTAAAGCTATGTATTATTTATTAGTCCTGTTATAAATTTAAAAGCACCGCATACTATTAGTTCAAGGGAGTAATTAAAAATACAAAAAATAAACTTGAAAAACGAGTTCACACTTCTTAAAATTTTAATTTTTTTTTTAGGTGTGAATGTACATCTGGATGGACTGGACAGAACTGTAGTGAAGAAATAAATGAATGTGACTCGAATCCATGCATGAATGGAGGTCTTTGTCATGAATCTACCATCCCTGGACAATTTGTGTGTCTGTGCCCACCACTTTATACTGGACAGTTTTGCCACCAACGCTATAACCCTTGTGACCTACTTAATAACCCTTGCAGAAACAATTCAACATGCTTAGCTTTGGTAAATGGAAATCAGCATTGTATTTGTGGAGAAGGTAAGAGCTGATTTGGATTTTAATGGTTTTAAATAATTACTTAATTAGTTTGTGTATTTATTGTGCCTATGGGATGATGGCCTCTTCAAATGGGTTAGAAAAACCCCATGCACATTGTGGGTAGGGGAGTATCTAACTTCAAATCCTGTTATAAAAATATAATAGAGAAATACACCAAAGGAGTTAATGTAAGAATTCACTATTGGGAAAAGGGAAAAGAGTAAAGCTTTATAGCTTTTTGGCCCTTTTTTTTTCTTTCAGAAGTTGTCTCTCCTTTAATAACAGTTTATCTTTTCTGAACAATCCTGTTCATGCAGTGTTCATGACAATAGCAGTTAATTAGAGATGGGCATAGGTATAATTGAAAGTAATGAAATGTCTTAGTTTACATTTTCTTCTGGAGGTATCAAAATATTACTTCTTTCTACTTAGATTGTTTAGTTACAATCACATAACTTTGGTGGCTGCTTAGTCTCATAAGAGAAATCCTATGCAAGAAAGAATGAACAGTTCAGATAATACTGTTGGAGCTCCTGGATCCAACCATATCTGAAGCCAGGATATTTCTGGCTTTCTGGGTCATATCAGCCAATAACTCTGCTTATATCAGTAAACTTTCTTGATTGGGGCCTCTTCATGTGCAAGTAAAGAAAGTCTCATTGATGCACAGTGGTTTAGGTACATGTTCACTGTTCATGTGTTGATGGTTACTCACAAGCAATTATGATTTTCAGTGGAAATGCTTCTGCTCCAAAACACGTGGCCAGTTTTCAGAATAACTAGATGTGTCATAAGCATAATATAAAAAGCACATTGTGTTTGGAGGTCCACAACTGCAATTTATTTTCTAATATTCACCTGTGGTTTCATGTTTTCCTCCCTCTCATTGGCCCTTAAGGGAGTCTCTTAATGATAAGGATATTACTTATTTACTCTTCTGTTCAAAAACACCAGCTTAGATGACTTTAGCTAAATAGGTATCTAATTCAAAGCTATTTCCATTTGTTTTTGCAAATCCTCTAAAATTTTCTTAAGATATTAATCTTTTTTAAGGATTTTGAGGCAAGTCCTTGAACCTGTATACATGACAGAAACTTCTGGGTGTTCTGAAAGATTAAAACTAAAAGCTAGAAAACCATCAATAATTGATTTTGCAAAAATGGCATGGGCTTTATAGACCATGTGAAAGAATGTTTTCAAGAATGAGACAGGTAAAACAAGATAAAGAAGAAACAATACAAGGGGAGCATTTGATGCCCAAATTTAGTAATTATGAAGAACATAATTCCAACAAGTAAATAGTTTTCCTTTTAGCAAACTTTGAGAGTGAAACTTGTTGAAAATTATTCAATATCAGTGAGGTGAATTTATTTAGTAGAACAATTGTACTAAACATTCTACTACATAGAATTTTTTTTACTTAATAAAATTATTATTTCTGAGAATATAAGTAGCTAAGTAAAATAGAAAAAAAGTCTCAGAACATAAATAGTAGATAGATATTTATTGAGAAGGCCATAGTGTATTTATTCATTTAGGTAAACCTCCTTTGTTTCTATCAGAGATAATTTTCTACAAAGTGGGCGTTGTTTTCAAACCTTAATATTTTAAAAATTCATTTGCTATTTATAAGTGCATTTAATAAATTTATAAAATATAGTGATATTTCTTTCCTGCTATGGGGTCAGGGAAAGAAAGTTTAGAAACATTATAAAACCTTCTAGTCATATATTGAACTAGTAATGATATCTGCTGTCCCCTTAAACATTAACAAAGATGTCATGGGGAGAATTTAGATTTCACTATTATTAAATAAAGGAAATCTTATTTCCTCTTAGTATTTTATTATTGTACTTAAGTTAAATCAGAGCTTTGACTAGAGTGGCAGGTGGACACAGTGAATTATGTGTTTATTCCTTTGTGATTGTGATTCAGTACAAAGAGATACTTGAAGTGCACATCGTTTTTTTTTTAACGAATTTGCATCTATGTTTTTCTAAACCTAATTGTGGAGTATGTTTCTGTAAATCAGATCTGACTACTGTAATAATGTGTCTTTAGCAGTTTTAAGTTCTGTAGCAGATCAAAAATTAAAGGCTGTAACATTGCTTTTAAAAACTATCTCAGAAAATTCAAAAGAAGTTGACTGCAACATTTTAGAAGCTTTGACTGGGTTATTTTAACAGCTTTATTTAAGATAGGTTCTATGTCAAAGCCAGTATATTTTTTTTAAAAGAAAATATTTTATCAAATTTAATTCTCACAAGTATCAACATTTAGAACTACAAAGAATTCCAATACTTAACATCTACAGATATGATTTGGAAGCTCCACTGGATCTCTTTGTAAGTTGTTGGTGTTTGTCAATTGACTAAAATAGGACATCAGAGTAGAAATTTAAGGCTTTAGGCTAAGGATTCAGCATATGTATTTCTGAATTTGTTTTCACAGTTTTTAGTCAGTCTATAGGGTCTTTCACTAGATAAATGTGAGTATAGATAAAATTTCAGCCAGAGTAACAATGCAACTATATGTTAGACAACTATATTAGAAATGACATTCACATTCACTCTGAAGGACCAGCAAGTAGAATAACTGATACTTTGGGGTTTATGTCAAACTGCTTGCTTAGCAGATAAACCATTTTGGCTAATGTGATTGAAATGTATAGTAAAAATTATCTAATCTTTTTGCAAAGTAAACTACTTAAAAAATTATCAGTATAGTTAAGCACCGGAACTATTGTGATCCTGCTTTGTGAGATAAATAAAGGGCAAGGCTTCTGTCTTCTGGCTAGAACTGAGGTGATTAATTGGGTCTCTATGAATAGTGAACATTTTCTACAGGTAAATGAAGAGGCAAAAGAGCATGTGACACTAATAATTCAATATATTTATTTTATATAAAGTCTTATCAGTTTGGAACAATGTAGGAAAAAAACATTGCTTTAATAAACAGAAAAACAACACATAGAAAGGCACATTTTATAAGATTTCTATAAACAAATGGGTTTTATTTTTGACACCTCAATAGTGTTAGCTTTGATTATTTAGTATATAATGAATTTACACAGCTAGAAATTAATTGTAACCAACTTTTTCTGCCTCTATAAACTGTACTCTGTACACAAATACATGTCTGTCTTGTAACTGCATGTTAGTAGTGTTCTAGAAATTTTAAAAATACTATTAACTGATTCAACAAACATATTGATTTCCTATGATGTGTCAAGTCTTGAGATAGGTTCTGGAAAAATTAAACATGGTGAAGATATGCCCTCAAGGAATTTAAAGTTTAAAGGAGAGACACACCAGTTAATTAATCATTAAAGTACAAAGCTGTAAAAGCTTTTGATAGTGACAGGAGGCAGCCAAATGCCTAGACAGATAAGGATAGGTACCTGGTGAAGCATCACCTCCAAGCCAATGACAGTTTAAAGCCTGAAAGCCAAGCTATAAGTTAAATCCTCAGACCAGATTGAGAACTTGTCTTCCTGTTTGGCAGAGCTTTCCTCCGATTGATCCCCACCCTTCACCTATTTTACATACACCTACCCTTTCCTAATTGGTTTTCTGCACTGTTGTACCTGCCTTCGAGTCTTGTCTTCATTTTAACTTTTGCATACTCACAAACCAATCAGCGCACACTCCCCATCCTGTGTCTATAAAAACCCCAGACTCAGTCAGTAGAAGATGAGATGGCCTGACTTTGGGGAAGAGACAGCCTACCTTCAGGTTGTACAGGAAGACAACCTGTCCTACTTATACCCTCTTAAGCTCCCCTCTCCTCTGAGACCTGTTTTCATCACTCAATAAAATTATCCACCTTCATCACCCTTCAGTCATCTGCATGACCTCATTCTTCTTGGACACCAGATAAGAACTTGGGACCCTCTGAGTATGGGTACCCAGAAAGGCTGTCCAGCCAGCCCTTTGCCCTCCCTGGCAGAGGGCAGCCAACCATGTGACGAGGCAAGGGGCCAGCTGAGCTGCTAACACACTGCTGTCCGTGAATGGTGGAACTAAAGGAGCACTGTAACATCCCCTCTGGGACTTCAGTGTCACATACACACTCAACTGGGTGCCACCGTGTTCCCCACAAGGCAACACACCTGGTCTGGCTGGGGGAGCTGTGTGGAGCTTTCTCCTGTTTCAGCAGGTGGAGTGGCCAGAGAGGTCCTGCACTCACTGGCTCACGTGCTCCCTCCCCCAAAGGCTTGAGCATAGTGGACCGAGTAGATGGGGTACCCCTCCCACAAGTCTGGCAAATGGGCTGAGAAAAATCCTGCATCACTTCCACATTTATGCCAGAAATATGTACAAGGGATGACAAGTTGTGGATACATAACATTGCTTTCTCATTTCTGTTGACAACTTTTAGTTATGTTCTGCATGATTTATAAGAGAGTCTCCAGCATATGAAGCCTCAGTTGCCCACAACAATTATGTGCTCATTAAACCACTCCCTTCCCTGCTTTATCTTCCACTCCCTTGCAATAATTCCTAGGATCTGGGATGACCTCTCAAATAAACTTCTTGTGAGAAAATCATTGTCTCAGACTTTTTTTTTTTTTAAGAACTCAAGCTAAGACACATAGTAAATTCCATCCCCTGGTAACTATGGTTTACCTAAGTCTGGGCATGCATGTGACTAGAATATTGGCGTTCAGACCCCTTCTTTGGAATTGATGCTGAGAGAAGAGGCCTTCTCTTTCTGCCAGATGTTTTCAATTGGTAGAGTCAACGACCATGTTCTCTTCATGTGGAGATGATCTGCATATAGTAGGATAGAAGTGTTTGGGAAAGAAGGAATCTTGGAGGAACTTACAGTTCTTACTTCAATTTTGTGAACTGCCTGATACCCCTCTCAGCCGGGTTACCAATAAATCTCACTTCTTAACTAAGTTCTTGTTTTTGTTTATATTGTTTATGGCCAGTAGAGTAATGGCTAAGACATAGCGTGAAGGCAAAGAGTTAATTTAAGTGGGAAAGGTTGAATAAACTGGTTTCAACTTCAAGCTGGTAGAAATAAAATATAAATTTTATCACTTGAGGGCCAGGCACTACAACTCACACTTGTAATCCCAGCACTTTGGGAGACTAAGGCAGGAGGATTACTTGAGGCCAAGAGCTCCAGACCAGCTTGGTCAACATATCTATCTCTACAAATTATTTTTTAAAAACTTGCAGTGTGTGGTGGTTCATGCCTGCAGTCCTAACTGCTCAGAACTCTAAAGCAGGAGGGATCATTAGAGCCCAGGAGTTTAAGGTCACAGTGAGAACTTCATCTTGGGCAACAGAGCAGGACCTTGTCTCTAATAATAATAATAATAATAATAATAATAATAATAATAAAACCCACAAAACCACATGAAGATTAAGAAGATAAAGAGGACTTCAGATGAAATGCATGAGAGTGTGTGTGTTTGTAGCATACAGTAGAATTATTATGTTAGCATGTGTGTGTCTAGCCTAGAAGTAAGTCAAGAATTAAATAATTTCTTCTAATGGTCTTTTTATGAATGGTTCTTTTTGTTTCTTCTTTGAATTACTCTATTTCTCAGTTTATAGGCAAAAAATTACCCTATCAAATGCTTCTTAATTTAATCTAAAGAGCTTAGTTTCTAAAACAGCCACTTTGTATGTCTTCAAGGTGAAAGAAGCAGACGTTTCTTTAAATGACAGGATTAAAATGTGGCAAAGATACCTTGCAAGGAGCTGTAGTGAAAGCAGAATCACATCATTTACATGTGCTATTGATTTACAATTGGGATCCTAAGCTTGATGGAATTGTAGTATCAGGGGAGACAAGTAGTTGCATTTAAATGTGTCTATTACTCCAGTATATATACTATCATTATGTTAATTCTATATTACCTAAGGTATACAAGTACAAATACCAAATAAATGTGTCATTTGACAAAATAGTTTGTATAAATTAGAAATTACTCCTGTTGACAATTAAAAACAGGTACCCATGTTGTAGCACATACTTATTAAGGTTAATAGCTGTAGAAATTTGAATTTAGAAAATTCCTTAAAGAAAATACATACATAATTAAACAAAACATGTTAAATATTTATTACATTCTAAAATATTAGCTTTTCTTTTTTTTAAGTTCACTTTAAAAATAGGTGTTAAAAAATCTTGTTAGGGACTATCGGAAATATTAGTTCTATATAGTCATATTTCATAGTTTTTAAAGTTAAATTTGAAGAATTACTTATATTGGTTAATTATTTTAGAAAATGTTAATATTGAATACAAATATTTTTCAATAAAATAATATTTTTTAAAAATCTGACTTGCTAAGAGAAACTTCTGAGGTGTTTTTTGTTTTCTTTTTATCAAGTTTTTAAATCCAGAGAAATTAGATTATTTAAGAATAAATAGAAATAATACATTTAATACTTTTGAAAGAAAAACATTTTTAAGTGAACTTTTATTTAAAAATATTTTTAACTACCTTGTTTGAATTCATGCTATGATATACACTAGTTTTTTCCCTATTCACATTCATTTCAAATTACTCCAATTAATACCAGTTCTGAAGTGGAGATTGTTAAAATATAGTCCTGAACAATAAAATGCTATGTAAAAATTTTTTTATGAAAATTTAATTATTGTACTCTGTTCCAAATATTACCTTCTAGAGCACAAACTGCAAAAAGGCTGAATTTGTTAGAAAGGAAAAATATTAATTAATTTTAAAAAATAATACCTATAATCTAGATTGATTTAGATCTTACATTTGTGCAGTAGGCTTTAAAATTTAATTTTGTATATTTTGGAAGAACAAGTGCAGAAGTATAAAAATATCATTTACTAACCATTCATGTGTATTTGTTACCACACACAGACGAGACAGTGTAAGAAAAGGATCAAGGCAGTATCCATTTGAGAATGCTTCACTTTTAATGCATGTGAAGATCCTCACTGCAGTTAACAAAGTAGAGTCAACCAAATAGTTCTGAGTAGGAATAAAGAACAAGGGGACAACATAAAATCAGTAATACTAAACTTTCTTTTTGGATAGTTTCTTACCTGTAACTTCATATATTCAAAACAAGAACCTTTCACAGAAATGAATTGCAACTTCTAACACCAAGGATTATAGAATATGTAGTTTGGGATTAAGTATACAGTCATGTATTGCTTTAAAAAGGGGATATATCCTGAGAAATGTATCACTAGGCAATTTTGTTGTGTGAACACCATAGAGTGTCCTGACACAAACCTAGATGAGATACCCTACGCATTTACAGGTCCATTATAATCTTTAAAGATCATTGTCGCTAAAAATGTGGTCTGTCATTGACCAAAATGTTGTTATGCAGCACGTGACTGTATGCACACGTCCCTCTTAAAATCCCTAAAACATAAGCTCTCTCAGCAAAGCTTTGTTTTATTTTGAATGTAATTCACATATACTTTATTTTTTCTCCCAGTGTCTACTGCATTTCGGCAATCTCATTTCCTCAACCCATTGGCATATGTTGCTAGTTGGTAACAAAACTCCATCTCAGAAATGTCAAACTTAATGAATACGACAAAATCACGGGAAACAAGGTTATCCTGTGAGCTACCCAAGGTCCTGGGCCTTGAGTGTTCTAATTTATCAGCACAGCTGAAATCATGGAGGCTCACTCACACTTCTTTATAGCCAGTCAGTGCCCCTGAGTTCCACTGCCTCAAAAGAACATTTCTAAGAATCACTTTAGTGTCAAAATGCCCTGCCTCCCAGAGAAAACTAACCAAGCTTAAAGTAAGAATGGTGAAATGCACTCAACTTTTTAAACTTTTAACTTGTGAAAAATCTAACCTCAATCAAATACTTAAAGAATTAAACATCTTGCATGTTGGAACAATTACAACTTGCTCACCTAAAGTGAGGAGAGCCGTATTAACTTGGAAGTAATTCATTTTAACTTTGTTTCTAATGCTGAGGATACAACAGCTAGTATATGAAGGAACTACAAAAGTGTAACTTCAGAGATTCATTTGCAGGCTCTGAGAATTAAGTAAGAAAAATACAGCACATTAAAAATATTTGTTGTCATGAAGACTACCTGGTCTGCTAGCCACATAAGTACCGTAGCTTACTTACAATTAGTGTTTCATAGTGTGTGATCATTCCATCTTTTAAATGTTTACCTATCATTGTTGTTATGTTTTAAATAAATTTCTTTTAGATATCATGTGGTTTCTTCTGTTATTTAGTCTGCCTCTACCTTCAAATTGGAGATGTTAAAAATCATATTTAATATAATTTTTGATATGTGTGGCTATAAATACACCATCTAGCGATTTGTTTTTTATTTGTTATATCTGCACTTTAATTTTCTTTTTTGTTTTCTTTTGGATTATGTAACTTTTAGTTTTCCATATTATATCCTACCAAAGAGGCAGCCAGATTTCATAAGGTGTAACACCAAGCTCCCTGTTAAATTGCAACGGGAGGCAAGTTTGGAGTTTGATCCAATGGTAGACACCACAGAGAATGGCATTGACTGTGGCATGGTATGAAATGAAAAGATGAAGTAGGTCAGAAATGCCATGTTCTATCATGGGAATCTAAGTGATGAAATACCGAGAGAATTTGTCATTGAACAGTTGGTGCTGAAGCTGAAATGTCATAATATAGACAGAGACCAAGAAAACTGTGCTATATCATTTGTATGCCAACATTACAAGTGATTTGAAACTGAACATGTTGAGATATTTGTGATAGAAAGAGAAGAAAAAGTGATATGAGAAGGATAAAGGACAGGTACTATGAAAGGAAGACAGCCATTCCTGGATAGCTAGACTATGCTTCCCTTTAAATGCTTCTTAGTTCCAATTCTAGTCTATGTGTATGCCAACAATGAATACAGTTTCCTTAAAATAACTTGAATGACTCTTTGTTCCTCAAACTAAATCAGCCTGATTTCATATTGACATTTAGAATATTGTATAATGTGACTGAACTTATTTAGTGCTTGGTAATATCACTGAAAAAGCAAAATAAAGGGAAATCTTGTTTCTTACATGTTTGAATTAGTACAGAAAAAATATGAACAAGAAAAATGGTTTTAAGCATATACTTTATTATAGTCAATATATAACCATAGAATTGTTTAACTGTTTATTATAAATATTAATATATTTCATTGTATTGTAAACATGCAGGTTTTTTGTGACACAAATGAGTTGAAATAATTACAACTGCCTCTTTTATCAGCCTGTATAATTTTCTTTCATGTTTATTTTTTTTAAATATAACTGGCATGTGTTTAAATGGATGACTGATTATGTAGCTATGAATCAAAATAATTTGTTTTCTTTGAATCACTTGGATCTAAAAAGCAATTAAATAATTTGCCTCATCTGCTTGAATAAATTTGATCATTGAAGCTCAATTTTACTTTAAGATTGGTCATCACATTAATTCATTTGCTTTCCAGATCATGTCAGTTCTTCTTGTTCAAACATGTAAATACTTTAAAACAACAGCAACATTAGCAACATCTCTACCTTCTCAGAGGATTTAGTAGAGTATTCTTCCCTAGAATCTTTCATTCAAACTGATTAATCTAGAAACTGGTATGTTTTTATACACACATTATGTGAAATGGAGTTTTATGAGAAGCTTGAGATTCTTTTTTTTTTTAACCCCCATTATGAATGTATTCTTTAGACTACCACTGATTCTGATTTTTTTTTACTCTATAACAAAGATTGCTCATCCATACTTATCTCATACTCTTTGCAGAATTTGAAGATAAACACTGTGAAATTGATGTGAAAGAGTGCCTCTTCCTTTCCTGCCAGGATTATGGTGACTGTGAAGATATGGTCAACAATTTCAGGTACAGAAAACTAAAAAGTAGATACGTGTTTATGTGTCTAGATGTATATAGGTATAGAATTTTAATTGGTGAATTAAGCAACATTTATACTTATTAAAAACTTGCCACACTACAATTAGTTGAAGCATTGATTTTATACATCTATACTAATGGAGTTACTAAATTTTTTGTTTAAAAGGTGTATTTGCAGACCTGGGTTTTCTGGATCTCTGTGTGAAATTGAAATTAATGAATGTTCCTCTGAACCTTGCAAAAATAATGGGACATGTGTGGATTTGACAAACAGGTGAGAAGCTACTTTTTATTAAATTAATTATTTGATATGTGTAATTCAGCAAATAATAAAGTGAGCACACATGTGCCCATTATATAACTAAGGCAACAGATCACTACTGATACATTTGTGCTTGTACCAGTACATCCTCATTTCTCCCATCTAGTCACTTATGTCAAAAATCTCAAATTTTTATTTACCACTCTTGCTGTTAGTTTATAGTACTATTTGTATGTGTGCCTGAACAAAATGCTCTTTAGTTTCCATGTTAATATAAGCAAGACAATATTGTGTATAGTCTCTGGAAATTGTTGTTGAACATAATATTTTGTCATTCCTGTTGATGCATGTATCTGTTGCTCATTTTTAACTTTTATAGAATATTTCATATTAAATATATGCCAAAATTTATCTTTCTACTGATTATGGATATTTGGACTATTTGCTTCTTTTGTCTTGCCTATAATGATATTAAAGTTTTCAAATATTTCTCTAAATACACAAGTACTAGTATATCCGAGGTTACATACATAGAAGTAGAATTGTTGAACCATTGGGTAAACATGGTCACATTTGCTAAATCAAATCTATATTTTTTTTCATTTCTTTTGAAAAATACGATTTTTGTACTCTTAGCAGGGAATAAACATTTTTATTGGCATTTTCAGAATGTTCCATCTTAAGCTGTATGTAAAGTTATATCTTACTGTAGTCTCCCTGCATTCTTATAATAATATGAAGTTTAACAATTTTATGTACACTTTGAGATGTTTAATTTGGCCTTTCTCGAAATGCCTAATTATGGCATCTGCCTATATATGTATTTATTTACTTTAAGTTCCGGGATACATGGGCAGAATGTGCAGGTTTGTTACATAGGTATACACGTGCCATGGTGGTTTGCTGTAACCAACAACCCGTCAACTACATTAGGTATTTATCCTAATGCTATCCCCTTGCCCCTCAACAGGCCCCAGTGTGTGATGTTCCCCTCCCTGTGTCCATGTGTTCTCATTGTGCAACTCCCACTTATAAGTGAGAACATGCAGTATTTGGTTTTCTGTTCTTGTGTTAGTTTGCTGAGAATGATGGTTTCCAGCTTCATCCATGTCCCTGCAAAGGACATTAACTCATTCTTTTTTTATAGCTGCATAATATTTCATGGTGTATATGTGCCACATTTCCTTTTTTATCCAGTATAACATTGATGGGCATTTCGGTTGATTCCAAGTCTTTGCTATTGTGAATAGTGCTGCAATAAACATACATGTTCATGTGTCTGTGTAGTAGAATGATTTATAATCCTTTGGGTATATACCCAGTAATTGATTGCTGGCTCAAATGGTATTTCTAGTTCTAGATCCTTGAGGCATCACCACACTGTCTTCCACAATGATTGAACAAATTTACACTCCCACCAACAGTGTAAAAGCATTCCTATTTCTCCACATTTTCTCCAGCATCTCTCCAGCATCTGTTGTTTCCTGACTTTTTAATGATCACCATTCTAACTTGTATGAGATGGCATCTCTTTGTGGTTTTGATTTGTATTTCTCTAATGACCAGCGATGATGAGCTTTTTTTCATGTTTGTTGGCTGCATGAATGTCTTCTTTTGAAAAGTGTTTGTTCATATCCTTCACTCACTTTTTGATGGGATTTTTTTTTCTTGTAAATTTGTTTAAGTTTCTTGTAGATTATGGATATTGGCCATTTCTAAGATGGATACATTGCAAAATTTTCTCCCATTCTGCAGGTTGCCTGTTCACTCTGATGATTTATATATTTATTTTATTATTATTATTATTGCTGTGCAGAAGCTCTTTAGTTTAATTAGATCTCATTTGTCAATTTTGACTTTTGTTGCCATTGCTTTTGGTGTTTTAGTCATGAAGTCTTTGCCCATGCCTATGTTCTAAATGGTATTGCCTAGGTTTTCTTCTAGAGTTTTTATGATTTTAGGTCTTACATTTTAATCTTTAATCCATCTTGGGTTAATTTTTGTATAAGGTGTAAGGAAGGTATCCATTTTCAGAGTTCTGCATATGACTAGCCAGTTTTCCCAGCACCATTTATTACATAGGGAATCCTTTCCCCATGGCTTGTTTTTGTCAGGTTTGTCAAAGATCAGATGGTTGTAGATGTGTGATGTTATTTCTGAGGCTTCTGTTCTGTTCCATTGATCTGTATATCCGTTTTGGTACCAGTATCATGCTGTTTTGGTTACTGTAGACTTGTAGTATAATTTGAAGTCAGGTAGAATGGTGCCTCCAGTTTTGATCTTTTGTTTAGGAATGTCTTGGGTATACGGGCTCTTTTTTGGTTCCATGTGAAATTTAAAGTCTTTTGTTTTGTTTTGTTTTGTTTTTTGTTTGTTTGTTTGTTTGTTTGTTTCCAATAATGGAAGAAAGTCAATGGTAGCTTGATGGGAATAGCATTGAATCTATAAATTACTTTGTGCAGTATGGCCATTTTCACCATATTGATTCTTCCTATCCATGAGCATAGAATTTTTTGTTTCATTTTTCTGTGTTTCTTTTCTTATTTCCTTGAGCAGAGGTTTGTAGTTCCCCTTGAAGAGGTTCTTCACATCACTTGTAAGTTGTATTCCTAGGTATTCTATTCTGTTTGTAGCAATTGTGAATGAGAGATTATTGATGATTTGGTTCTCTATTAATGTTTGTCTATTAATGTCTATTATAATAGGAATGTTTGTGATTTTTGCACATTGATTTAGTATCCTGAGATTTTACTGAAGTTGCTCATCAGCTTAAGGAGTTTTGGGCTGAGACGATGGGGTTTTCTAAATATACAATCATGTCATTTGCAAACAGAGATAACTTGAATTTCTCTCTTCCTGTTTGAATACCCTTTATTTCTCTCTCTTGCCTGATTTTGTTATTTACCCAGTAGTCATTCAGGAGCAGGTTGTTCAGTTTCCATGTAGTTGTGCCGTTTTGAGTGAGTTTCTTAATCCTAAGTTCTAATTTGTTAAACTGTGGTCTGAGAGACTGTTTGTTATGATTTTCATTCTTTTACATTTGCTGAGGAGTGTTTTAGTTTCAATTATGTGGTCAATTTTAGAATAAGTGCTACTGGTGCTGAGAAGAATGTACTTTCTGTTGATTTGGGGTTGAGAGTTCTGTAGATATCTATTAGGTCCACTTGGTCTAGAGCTGAGTTCAAGTCTTGAATGTCCTTGTTAATTTTCTGTATCGTTGATCTGTCTAATATTGACAGTTGGGTGTTAAAGTCTCCCACTATTACTGTGTGGGAGTCTAAGTCTCTTTGTAAGTCTCTAAGTACTTGCTTTATGAATCTGGGTGCTCCTGTATTGGGTGCATATATATTTAGTATAGTTAGCTCTTGTTGTTGCACTGATCCCTTTACCATTATGTAATGCCATTCTTTGTCTTTTTGATTTTTGTTGGTTAATGTCTGTTTTATCAGAGACTAGGATTGCAACACCTGATTTTTTTTTTTTTCCATTTGTTGGTAAATATTCAACCATCCCTTTATATTGAGCTTATATGTATCTTTGCATATGAGATGCATCTCCTAAATACAGCAGCACACTGATGGTTCTTGACTCTTTATACAATTTGCCTGTCTGTGCTTTTCAATTGGGGCATTTAGCTCATTTGCATATAAGGTTAATTTTGTTATGTGTGAATTTGATCCTCTCATTATGATGCTAGCTGGTTATTTTGCCCATTAGTTGATGCAGTTTCTTCATAGTGTCGATGGTCTTTACATTTGATTTGTTTTTGCAGAGGCTAGTACCCGTTTTTCCTTTCCATATTTAGTGCTTCCTTCAGGAGCTTTTGTAAGGCAGGCCTGGTGGTGACAGAATCCCCCAGCAGACCCTGTTTGCCTGGGTATCACCAGTGGAGGCTGCAGAAAAGCAAATATTGTTTCCTGCTCTTCCTCCGGAACTTCATCCCAGAGGAGCACCCGACAGATGCCAACCAGAGCTCTCCTGTATAAGGTGTCTGTCGACCCCTGTTGGGCCCTGGACCTACTTGAGGCAGTCTGTTCTTTAGGAGAGCTTGAGCACTGTGCTGGATGATCCGCTGCTCTCTTCAGAGCTGGCAAGCAGGAACGTTTAAGTCTGCTAAAGCTGCTCCAGCAGCCATCCCTTCCCTCAGGTGCTCTGTCCTAGGGATGTGGGAGTTTTATTCATAAGCCCCTGACTGGGGCTACTGCCTTTCTTTCAGAGATGCCCTGCCCAGAGAAGAGGTTTCTAGAGAGGCAGTCTGGCTACAGTGGCTTTGAAGTGCTATGGTGGGCTCCCCCCAAGTCCAAACTTCCTGGCGGCTTTGTTCACACTGTGAGGGGAAAACTTCTACTCAAGCCTCAGTAATGGCAGACGCCCCTCCCCCAACTAAGCTCCAGCATCCCAGGTGGACTTCAGACTGCTGTGGTGGCAGTGCAAATTTCAAGCCAGTGGATCTTAGGTTGCTGGGCTCTGTAGGTGTGGGATCCGCTGAGGAAGACCACTTGACTCCCTGACTTCAGTCCCCTTTCTATGGGAATGAAGGGCTCTGTCTTGCTGGCATTTCAGGTGCCACTGGGATACGGGGGGAAAAAAAAAGGAAAAAAAAAACTCCTGCAGCTAGCTTGGTGTCTGCCCAAAAGGCCACCCAGTTTTTTGCTTGAAACCCAGGGTCCTTGTGGTGTAGGCACCTGAGGGAACCTCCTGGTCTGTGGGTTTCAATGACCATGAGAAAAGCATAGTATTTGCACCAGATAGCACTGTCCTTCACAGCAAGGTCCCTCCAGGCTTCCCTTGGTTAGGGGAGGGAGGCCCCTGACCCCTTGCACTTCCCGGGTGAGGCAATACCCCACCCTGCTTCTGCTTGCCCTCTGTGGTCTGCACCCACTGTCTAACCAGTTTCAGGGAGATGAACTGGGTACCTCAGTTGGAAATGCAGAAATAATCTGCCTTCTGCGTTCATCTCTCTGGGAGATGCAGACCTGAACAATTCCTATTCTGCCATCTTGCTGAGTCAG